AGAAAAACAATTCATCTTGATTCAATTTAAAATTTCAAAATGGCGGCCATTTGAATTTGTTTAACTTAAATTACTCAAAAACGGCTAATGTTATGAAAGAATATCAAGAATATTTTTATTTAGCAGTTTTGATTCCCTATCAATCTATACCAAGTTAAAAAAGATCGTATAAGAAATAGCTGAAATATTACGATTTTAGTTGTAAAATGGGGTAGAATATACGGCAGAAGCTAGTCAGGTATACCCCATTTTACAACTAAGAATCGTAATATTTCAGCTATTTCTTATTCGATCTTTTTGAACTTGGTACCGTTTGATAGGTAATTAAATTTGCTAAATAAAACCACTTGTGGCATTTTTTCATTAAACCAGTCATTTTCGAGTAATTTGAGTTGAAAAGTTTTAAATGGTTGCCATTTTGAAATTTTAAAATGAATCGAGATGAACTTTTTTTATGACACGGGTCTCGTCTACCTTAAGATACATACAAAGTTTCATAAAGATCGGTTGAAAATATTAAAAGGGGAAAATGTTTATGTAAAAAATACAAAACGGCGGATATCTGGTTAACGAAGCGATTTTGGAAAAATGTTATTCTTGATTTTCTCTTTATTTTGACCCAAGAAATCACTAGGTAAAATTTGTCCCCACCTTTTTGAACACCCAGTATATGACGGGACAAGAAATATTATTCATACAACTAAGAATGTTAATGCGTAGGATCTACAACGAATCCCATCTTTAACAAATTAATTTTCATCCAATAAATATTTCCTCTTATAAACTTATAGGATGAAAGTCAGTTTCATTGTCGACTTTAAGCCAATAAAAGCACCACTTCCCTCTTATATGGCAATGTTGAATACCCCAAGGGAAACAATTTGCCATGCATCAATACATCTTGTGAAGAGAAGAAAATCTTTTATTTACGCTATAAACCGGTGACGGGTACGTTTGGAAATGATGAAATGTTATAAAATAATTATAAAAGAAACCGGTACATGTTTGAATTTAAATGTTTGAAATATTACTTGCGTAATGCAGGAATTAATTACAGTTATAATAATGTAAAATAGAATTAAATTGAATTCCACAGTATTGCTGTTCTACTCTTTAAAAATATAGAATTAATATTATAACTCAGCTGTTTGTTGTCTGATCTTTAAGATCTAGGTGTCATTTGATTTGGCATAAAATTTCCTAAATGTTGTTATTCTTGTGTTTTTTTGTAACTCTAGTGGTTTTCATGTAATTTGAGGTCAAAGATTTTATATGGCCGCCATATTAAAACGGCTATAGTCATCGAAATGAAATATTACATGTTTGTGTACCACGTTAAGATACACAAGTGTGTCAAATTTAAAGTTTGTACCTTGATTCAAACTCGAGTTATAAGGTTATTTATAAAAATCACAAACAGACAGACAGACGGAAAACGACGCTCCGGCAACCCATGTTTATAGTGTAAAATATTCATGTATTAACCCAAGGAATAATCCTGTGAATTTTTTCGAGAGAGTTCACAAACACCATGTTAAATGTTAAATGAAATAGCTTAACAAAACGTTCGTTTACGTTAGGCAATTAAGTTCGCATTGCTTTTTAGGTAAACCGTTCAAAATATATTTTTATTTTACGTGGGTATTTATTAATATTAATAAACTTAATAAACAAGAATGAAACCTGTATTTAAATTTACATGATATTTGCAGTGATAAAGAATAATATTCTGGAATATTTTTGTAACTTGTTTAGAATAGTCTGGAAGTATTTATAGATAGGTTGCACGTGGTGAAGTATATCAGCTTTTGCATCTTGTTTTGCACTCAAAGGGAATTATCTTTAATACCACTTATTATATCGCTATGGTAGCTCTGCTCACAGAAATTATTGTTTTTAATTTTAATTAAGACACCTTAAATATTCATTTCAGTCATATATTTTCTACATTTGTAAATTTTTATCATTTTCAACATTTTCAATATAATGACACAGCAATCCTCTTCAGGAAATTAAATTAGAAATTTTTCCAATCTTTTTTTACCCGAATGTAACGTATCTAAAACTGCCTCACAGCATAGCATATGGATTATGTTACTTATATGTTAAATATATCGATTGTCTCGTTTTTTGTTGTTACGTTACATTATTATTAGTTTAATAAGGACTTGTGAACACTCGAAAGAACTCTGAGAAGATTAAAAATTAGGACAATTAGCAATTAACAATTAGGAACCTCAGACATTTCAAGAATGTTAGTCATTTGTTTGGTAATGGTCTCCTAGGACTACCCAAACGCTACCAATACATTAAGATAGTGATCTTGTCTGTCTCGAGCGGCTCTCATAGCTATTGACTCAACTGAAGGGGTATTGGTTAGCTGGTCCCGTAATCCGAGGGTCGAAAAAGGTCAGGGATTAAAACGACTCCACTGGACCCGAGGGATCCAGGTAGTTCAGCTGTTTCTGAACTTGTGTCGTCTGCTAATTTGTCATGTTTACATTTTGGAACTTAACTTCGGCGAGTCGGCGAGGCGATTCGATTATAAATTTAATAATGATTATAAATATTGTCAAATTTTATGAATCCTTACAATACTAAATTCTTTTAAATATAAAAGTGACTAAACAACATCTTAGATACATCAATGGCTAATGTAAGTTTTCACTGGGTGTTGATTCAAACAAAGCTACCAACATTTATTATTTCGAAGAATCATAAATAGTTTGTGAAAAGTAGTACTCGTGTGGTACGTTCACGGTTAGTTTTGGCGTGAAATTAAAATATGTTTGAATTTATGAACTCTTTAAAATCAATCAATTATTTACACTGAAAATAAAGTGAAAGGGGAATGTAGAAATACATTTAAAAAATATATACTGTATAAACATCCACAGGACTTATTATCCATGAACGTAACTAATACTGTAATTAATTTTGGGGTTGCATGTCGAAATTTGGATGAAAACGTCCCAATACAATTTAACATTACGCGGTTATTTGCATGATATGTGTGAAAAGAAAAAACGAAAACTTATAAGTTTAAGAATATTCAAAAGATATATTATTATTACAACTGATATTTCAACATTTAACAAAGTTCGGGTTCATTTTAAATAAGGTAAGAACCCTTATGTTAAGAAGTACAACGGGAAAATTACATGTGAAATTTTTAGATGGGTAGCATTATCTTTGCATCAGTCTTTAACCTTTTTTAATAAATGTAATTGCACCAAGCCAGACCTAACCCTCTCGTGTGTGGTTTAAATAACACTGTGCGTGTTCCTGTGTAATTAAAATGTTCCTATTTAATGCAAGTGCATTTTTAACAAGGAAAAGTTTGGCGGACTTATGTGACTAAACTATCCTACCATAGGTTATGTTTTATATTTTCATTTAAACCCTACATAAAATTAAAATTTATTCAAAAGGTGTTTATTAATAGTTATAATTACTGTAGGCATAGAGATCGCGGAATTATCAGTAAGGTAATATCCATTTGTATTTGGCGGGATTTATATTGTGGGACGTCAGATCAAAATCCCACGCGCTACCTCTACACTAGCTCGCTCCTGTTCTGTTAATGTACATAGATAATTCAACATACGAGTGAAGTTAGTTGACAGCATTGACTATACACCTCTACTAGATTGAACACTATGCGGTCGCTTTGTTAACAATACACTGGTTCTGCGTTAGTGTATGGTCCACGTAGTTATGTTAGATGACGCTAGGCGCTCTTCAAGCGCCTTTAGTTCCCTTAGATAACGTAGGATCGTGCTGCGAGCGCCCGTCGTCTGTCACTGCAGACAACCCCGGCTACGATGCGTATTGCCATTGACTATACACCTCTAGTCAATGGTTGACAGTTACTGACTAAACAATGGCTGGATTTGAAAAAGGTTCTTAATTACATCAGTAATTCACCGTTTGATAAATTATATGCAGTATGTGTACCTCAGAGACAAGGGAAATGCTTTTGTAAAGGACTTCACGCTTAATCTCATGAAGGGAACAAAGGAAAAACGGAATAATTACCGTATTACACTTTGCTGTGCATTGTCTTTATCATATGTATTTTAAGACAATAGTTAGTTATACAGTAACAATTTAATTTTTCATAGTAAATAGCGTTATAATTAGTTAAAACACGTTAAAAATCTATTTAATGCTAATTTTCACCAGCGAGATTTTTAACAGGTCTTCACAGATTTGTAATGAGTACAACCATACTTTAACTTAGTGATATTTTAATAAATGTGTAGGATATGTTAGTAGCATATTGATGCAATTGAAAAATTTTCTTTTAATATGGGAAAAAGGGTTCGTGTTTGGATAAAAGGTATTTGTCATTAAGGTATTGTTATAAACCAACTACTTAGGAAAAATATGCCTGAGTTACATTTGTAACTTTTCTTCGAGTACAGCCTTCCTGAGGAGAATAACAGATTTTCTTGTGATAGGGACTACTTTTGAACATGGCTCATAAAAACTTGTATATATAAATATATTTTAATATTTTTGACAAATTGTATGTTTTGTTTCAGGACATAAGAGATTTCGGGAGTTCATTCGACATGCTATGTTTGAAATAGTCACTGATTAAGTTAATCTTGCATCAAAATCGCCCTTTTTATCAGTTTCAACTGCACTACAAATAAGACAGAAACCAGTTTTTAGTGCAAAATGCTTGTAGCTAATGAGCCCTGTTAATTAACAAAGATTTGCATGAACAGTATTAGACAGATTGAACTACTTCATAGAGATCGGAATAATGTGTTGTAAATAGAAGAAGAATAAATAAGTTCATTACTAATCTCAAACTTTTGAGAGTTGGATATGGTTTGGCCGAACTACAATATTGACAAAATTAAATTGAAATTATAAATGAAATAGGGAATTGTATGTGATAGTAGCAATCACAAAATCAACAATAGGATATCAAAAGTTAGTGGAGATGATTTGAGATGGTCGAATTAAGCTACAGTGGTCCCAGTGACATGGCGAGCTACTACATCAGGATGCTGACGCACCTGAGAAACCACTCTGATGTGCTGAAGTCTCACGAGAATCTGCTGAGTCTGCTGAATGTGACTGAAGAAGACTTGCAGTTGATGTTCAACAGTTCGCCAGTGTCGGAGGCGGCGCCACCTTGCTACTGTGGCGGCACTTTGAGAGAGGTCAGTGATGTTGAAATCCTTGAGTCTAGACTTGCTAACTCGTAAAACAAAAAAAAACTAAAAAAAAACAAAAAAACAAAATTCCACTAAGAAAATTTCTAATCCCACGGTTTACTAGAAATTTTAAATTACAATCACCCTGGTGCTAAAAAATATTTTGAGATGGTAAACAATCTCTCAGCGGCTGTTTGAAATTAACGAAATTAACATTGATCTTATGACGGGCAAATCCAAGATGGCCATTAGCTTACATATATTGACTTGGAGAACAATTCAAAATTTTAAAGAAGATTTCTACTTTCATAGTTTACTAGATATTTAAATTATATTTCAGTGTTTGAAAAAAATGTTTTTGGCGCAAAATAACTCTTCAGCATCTGTTTCAAATCATCCAAGATAACCTCTATCCTGCAAGGACTCTTAAGAGGGTTCCACACGCCGGCTGGTTACCGCGTAAACATGGTCCTACTAAAAATAACCTCGTGGCATTAATAAAGTGTTTATCGAGTTTAAAAAAACTTTAAAATATTCACAAATATCCTAACTATGCACTGGATGAACTGAAACTTCGTAACTATTTCATTAAGTATTTATAAAATAATTTTGAAAATCCGTAATTAGTCTTTTTTTAATATAATTTTACTTCTAAATAATAGTAAAAAATTATTGTTAAACATTATACGATAAATTAACGTCTAACATTTCCTGCCATAACTTCTTTTTAATTCGTCGTATCAATGTCAGATTGGTGGCATTTATTTCCTTTTTCAAAGCTCTTCAAAATAGTTTGCTTTTGGGGTTGAAGTTTAAAAAATGTAAATTACCCCTAGCAAACCCTATTTGGTGTGGAGGGATGAATTTCAAAATACCACAAAAAGTACTTTATATTACCCTAATAACGTGTATCGAAGCTAGATTGAATATATGCAGCCAGGGGAAGTGACCCGGTATATATTGGCAGCATTTTGTACTACGCTTTCGGAACTGAACGTACACTTAACACATCATATGCAACTTATGACCTGCATATTTTAATAGTTAATAGGCTGCTATATCCCAGTGTATATTAGATAGTGAATATGTATTATTAAATATAGTCATAAAAAAGAAAACATTGTGGATGATAAAGGTTTCCCTTACTAGTAAAATAAAAACTCAAATTATGTGGTACGTCTTGTTCGGGTTTGCGGTAATGTGCTTTACGAACTAATACATTGAATATGATACCAAACCCAACCTATGCTGTTATTTAAGAGTTTTGTCTGACTCCTTGTGGCCCGCCCCCCTTTTGGGATAAAATGATAATAGCTTAAAAGAGTACACACATTTATAATCATTATTGATATACCAAATCTCATTACTTTATCTATAATGGTAAAAAATATATTACACTGCTCCGGGACTTTTCAATCACCCTTTATAATCAAATACTGTACACGGATATAGATGTTTGATGGGTCAAAATGAAAAAAAAAACATGTTTTCAAACAACGTATGGCTAAAGAGATATTCACAATTTAGTTTTAGTTTTAATTATTTATCTAAAAAACTATTTAAGATATCCAAATGAAATTTCGTATGGTACTAATTTGAAGTCATAATCACAAAGATAATCATTTAAAAACTTTGTTGATGGTTTTTTTTTCATGTAGCTGATGACTCTTCAACATAAGAATAAGAATAAGAATAAGAATAAGAATAAGAATATCTTTATTGTCGTTAAATACAAAAGTACAATAGACAACGTCAAAATATATACAATTTTTCTATGAATTAGGTATATTGTAGTGATAGAAAATAAGTTAAAACAGGATTTTAAAAAACTGAAACTATATATTAGACATTTGGCATCCAAAAAAATCTTCCAGTGAATGAAAGCTTCTGTCAAGAAGCCAATCAGCCAATCTGTCTTTAAATTTATCAAAATCAAGCTCTTGAAACAATACAGGTAGCTTATTAAAGAGCTGTATTTGGAGGAATTTGTGGCTATTGGTTGATTTTGATAATCTTACTGTCGGAATATCTAGCTGGTTACATGCTCTAGTATTATAACTGTGAAATTCGTTACGTTTTGGGAATGATGAAAGATTTTCTTTAACATATAGCAAATTTTGAAAAATGAATATACATGGCAGAGTCATTATTCTGTGTTTGATAAAGAGAGGTTTGCTGGTCGTTCTGCGAGGAATATCAAACATTATTCTTAGTGCTTTTTTCTGCCACCTGAAAACCTTCTTGGCTCCAGCACTATTACCCCACAGAATGTTTCCATATAGAAGATGGGAGTGGAAGAAACTGTAATAAGATGTAATGAGCATACTATCCGATACGCAACTCTTAAGTCGTCTTAACAAAAAGCAGACTCGGGAGATCTTAGACACAACATGCGTAGTGTGGCGTTGCCAGGTAAGCTTTGTATCCAAATGTATGCCTAAGAGTTTCACTGAAGACGGGATGTTTGAACCTTCTAAGTGTTTTAGCGAAAAGCAAATTCGTTCAGTTTTCTGATGATTTAAATTAAGAAAGTTAGCATTAAACCAATTAGAAGAGATTGTGATTGCGTTGTTTACAGTTACTTCAGACTCAGTAAAATTACTATTTGAGGAAAAGAAAGTTGTGTCATCGGCATATAAGAGTGATTGGCAAGATATGTTACTAGGTAAGTCATTAATCATTAATAAAAACAAAATAGGCCCCAACACTGACCCTTGAGGGACTCCAGCTAGAGTTTCCAAAAATTCAGAAGAGTCCCGCCCAACAACCACTTGTTGGAATCTGCCACATAGATACGATTTGAATAAGTGTAGCTCATTGTTCTGAATCCCATAGTATTTCAGTTTTTCCAAAATAATTTGGTGTGATGTACTATCGAAAGCCTTACTAAGGTCCATTAAGGCTACGTGAAGATAATTGTTGTCTTCGAAAGACTTCAAAACCTCGGAAATCAATTTGTCAACTGCCTTTATTGTTGACAAACCAGGTCTGAAACCGAATTGAGCTGGACTTAGAATTTCGTTCTTTTCGAGATGGCTGTAAAGCTGAAATTTAATATGCGTTTCAATTATCTTTGAAAAAATTGGAACTATAGAAATTGGTCTAAAATTATCAATAACGGTTCTATCTCCCTTTTTATGAATTGGATGTGTTTTAGAAAATTTTAGGCAGTGTGGGAATATACATGAAGAAATTGACAGGTTTATGAGATAGGCTAGTGGTTCTAAGATGAAAGGGATTATTTCCTTAACTACATTATTTGAAAGACCAAAAACATCCTCAGATCGGGAGGTTTTTAATGACTTAACAATTGATAGCAAAGATCGGATATCTATTGGTTGAAGGCGGAACTCTTTTTTCACTGGCTTTGCTTTTTTGAGGAAGTTGACAAAGTCACGATTGCAGTTGGAAGAGTCAAAGTTTTTTGCCACCATTCTACCAACATTAATGAAGTGGTCATTATACTCTTGTGCTGAAATTATGGACTCGAGCTTCTGTGAGGTGCCAGTGCCGGATTCCGATTTTATGAGGCGCCAAGCAGCAGAACATTTATTTGGTGCATTAGTGACTAAACTGTCGTTGTATTTAATTTTTGCCTCAGTGATAGCTAACCTGTATTGTTTCCTAAATTTAAGATACAATTCTTTCAACTTATCGTTACTGTACTTAGGTATTTTTAGCAAGTCATTTAGTAAAATTAAAGTGTTTCTCTGTTCTTTCAGACTGCTATTAAACCACCGCTTTGAAACCCTTTTAGCTCCTGGTACACATTTTTTTGTTATTCTAGGACAATATAAATCATACAATAAAAGGAGTTTATCTAGAAATAAATCAAATGCCAGGTTTACATCATGAGAACAATACAATTCATCCCATTCAGTGTTAGCCAATGAGCTAGCAAACAAATTCATCTGTTTTAGGTTTCTATAGGAAATTTCGTCTAATTTAAATTTTTGTGAGGTATTTAATAATAGTTCAAACCAAATAATTGAATGATCCGAAATAGTGTAGGGCCAAATTCATAGTAAAATACATTTCTAAAAAATATCTCAAATGAAGATTAAGATAAAACACATAAATAATTGCACGTATCTCACTAATAATACATTCTTGAAAACATGTAATTCTTAGTTTTTGTTTCATTTTTGCCATTTAAAATATTCCAAAAATAATTTAACATACTTTTAATGACACCTGTATAAATAAGGGTATATATAAGCTAGTACGGATAGTGTTTTGACCTATGGAGACTTCAAAACGAAAAAGTAAATCGGTCCCGGACATAGGTCTTACAATGAGATCTACGGCAATAGCTCCCTGTATGGGTAATTTGTTAATAGAAAAGTAAAAGCATTTCGCAAAACTTTGGCATAACGGGGTTTTAACCAAACTAATTTGATTAGCAGTTAAACTGAAATGAAAATGTTGTTTTTAATGAGGCGAACTTAGGACTTCATGGTCCTTTCTTACAGCAAACCTCTACAGTTAACTTAAGGCAACATATTTTCAAGAGGGATTTTTAAATATTGAAATGTTGACTTGCTGTAAAATATTTATTTATATACATATATAAATTTAATCTGCTAAAAAAGTATTTTATATGACTTAAAGCTGTATAATAACCAAAAGTTCATGGTTCTACTCAGTTACTAATAATAGTGTATTTTTCGTAGAGCTCATGATGGGTATAGGTCACGTATACAATACTTTTGGTATACTTGGCTATTTTGGAGTGATATTGCGGAGGTATTGACAATTGATGCGTGTGACCTGCTCGAGCAGAAAACGCCTTTATTGGACCCGCAGGCGCTATCAATATCGATAAAGTTACATCAGGAAATACCACATTGTAAACACCCGGTGGCATTTGACATCTCCTTGACAAAAACAAACTTTGTAATTGGAATTGATTACTAACAATATGCTGGATAGAATAAAGGTATAAGGCGAAATACAAACATAAAAATTAAAAAAAATAAAACTAAGTAAGACATACTGTAAACGAATGATTTTATCCATGTGATGGAAGTACAGTAATTAGGATTTTAGTTCAGTACAAACATACTGTTTTGTAAGTGTATGAGTGATGTAAGTGTTATATTTGCATGATGTGTATCTCAATGTTTTCAGTATTTTTTTTAAAGTCAAGGGCCGATTTTCATTTGGAGATACAAAATGAATAGAGAGGTAAAGGAGAATATTACGGAATATTACGGAGAATATAAAGGAGAGAGAGTCAAAAGCCTGCGATGTTTATTGCTTTTCATTAATGAACAATATATTTCTACATAACACTAAAGTAAAGTTTTAGTTAAAGCATGATGGTGCTTTGTAGTCATGTCAGATATTATGTTTTTGCTACAAGACAATCTTCAGCTACAGAAATCCGCAAACATAAGTCTAGTACAATGTGTGACAGGTATCATCAACATCCTCAACATTGTGGTGGCCACACACAGAATTCAAAACAATCAACACTACCCTATCGTAGTATTGGATTCCCATGTTTGTAGTTAGTATACAACGATAGACAGATTTACAGATACTTCAGTATTTGTGTTCGGAACAGTTACTCAGCTTCATCTTCACAAACACAGAATTCATTAAAACAGTTAACATCGTCTTATAATAATCTTGTATGTGTTCCTAGGTAGTCTCCAGCTACCGACAGATCCACGGGTACTTCAGTCTGGTAGTTTGTGTGTTCGGAACCATCGCTAACATCCTCAACATCTTGGTGCTCACTCGCAAAGAACTCATCAATTCCCCCATCAACCGGATCCTCACCGGCATCGCTGTCGCTGACATGCTAGTCATGTTGGAGTACATACCCTTCTCTACGTACATGTACGTTCTACTTCCTCCGGGAGTCAAGCACTTCTCACACTCAGAAGCTGTCTATATACTCGTCCACATGCACTTCTCTCAGTTGATGCACACCATATCCATCTCTTTAACTCTCACATTGGCACTGTGGAGATATCTCGCTATCCAGTGAGTATTTCATTTTATTTATTTTACAGCAGTATATTTTCTCAAATAATTTTAGTTAATGATTTAGATATCTCTGGTAAATTCTGGTCAAGATCACAGCCAAGGTGCTATATTGTTTGGTCATAAATTGTTACGACTAACAAATGTGGCACATACAAATAAGCACATTACTTGATGAAAGAAGACGCAACTGTAATGTCGTTAATCAACATTATATTTCCCAACAAAGCAAATGAGTTGGAGGGGGAAGTTTGTAAAATTATCTTACGCAAAGTTTCGTAAATTGTTAGAGAAGTATGCTTCTGATATCGTTACGGTTTAGAGATATATTTACAACGTAATCTTTATACGGATGTATTACATGACTTGGTTCAAACTTTCGTTCATTGCCCAATGTCATTTTCTTAAAGTTTTTATTGCCTATTATAAGGATCGACTTAAGTTTTGTTAGCAGTTTGAGCAATGTCTTAAAGAACATAGAGTTGAGTATTATTAACTTAGTACATTTTCAATTTAGAGGTAGAAATGGTTCAAAGTTTGCGCTGTGCACAATTTACAATTAGGAATACAGTAGCACAAATAAACCAAGCCGAGGGCAGATTGTGAAACTATTAAAGACTAGGACGATTTACTTTCATACTAACGACAACCTTTTTAACATCGCCTAAAAGAGATAACACCATACTTAGGATATAATGATGGGATATCCTCCCATTCACTAATAAAGCAGATTGAGCCATCGTACTACGAGGAAAACCAACGAGTATGCGTAATTGGACATAGACCTAACTTAAATTTGCCTTCAGCGTATCCATGAAAAGATACGTCTTCAAGATAACACGTTGTGTACTCATTTTTTAAACATATATGACACATAGAAAATAACGGTAATGGTATTTTTGAGTGACAGATTCCCACACAAGACTCACGCTCTGTGCTCGGACCAGCGTTGTACGACTGCTATCACTATGGCGTTCGCTCTGCCCGTGGTGATCTGTATACCATCGTACCTGGTGTTCAGCGTGAGAGAGACCAGGGTGATGGAACACCAGAGGGTGGTGACTCTCTACCATCTAGACCTCAGTGATCTTGCCAAACAGGTAGGTTGCAAAGAAAAAATGATTACAATTATGAAAGGTTCACTCCATCACAAGTTATGTTCCATGTATTACAACCTAGTATTTATGTTGGAGACAGAAAGGTTGGGAAAGAGTGAAGCTGTAGACCGTCTTCTGTTTGAACAGTAGGTAGCACAATTCTAGTTATGATTCTATCAAGCATATTTAACCGTGGCGAGAAGGAGACACTTTCTTCAAGTATAGCTTGTAACTGATACGCCTAGAGACATAGTCTAACTGCACAGTAAAAATTATGAAAATTAGGTACACAGTAATAATTGATAGGGGGTTTTAGGTTATGTTTGTTATCAAACTGAAAGAAACTTACCAATGCCAGCTTACAAAGCCTTTTCGTAAGTATTGAAGCCCCAAGCCCCGCCTTATACAAAGTAAATTACCTTTTTATGTCACACTTACACTGACTGTATTTCACTTCCTATTTGATAATTTGAGTTTTGTCGGATTATGATGACATTTGGCTTGAAGATATAAGACGAGATAAACTTGAATGAGTTAACGAACCAGCATGATCGGGCTATGGAAACGGGGCTTTATGGGGTATAAATTTGTTTTTTTTTTATTTTTTGCCCTTAAAACACAAAATTTCCTAATCTTTCCTCTAACCATTTTATAGAGCTTAAAAAAGTAAATAACTTAAAGTAAATAATGGCGAGTACAAATACAATCAATTAATAATATTCATGGAAAACTAACACTCTTATTAAAGACATTAAATGATTACAGGACAACGAGCTGCTGTACACGGCCAACTTCTGGTTGTACGCAGTTGTAGTGAAGCTGTTGCCATGCGCAGTCCTCACGCTGGTGTCCTATTGGCTGGTCTCCGTGCTGTGGCAGGTGAACGCGCGCAAACAGCGGCTGCGCTGTGACGTGTTTCCCGCGGTAGCGGCACCGCGCGTCTACAAGCCGGAGAAACGGATGGATCGGACAACCAAAATGTTGGGTGAGTTCCTCGTTAAGAACAAAGAGCAATTTGAGCTTGAGTGGATATTCTATAGTAGGATATGTGTGGAGAACCGAAGTAGTGTGGCTAATTAAAGACTAATAACTATTAAGCTATCATATTCCTGCCCATAGTTTATTCTAGTTTATTCCAGTGTATTGTGTTTTTCCTTTTACTCATTACATATAATGTAATTGAAGACAGTCTTACCTAAAGTTCTTCTTAAAGAAACTCTTAAACTTCTTAACTTCTTAAAGAGCTTTTGTCTAAAAGCTGCCAAATCAATAATATGATGAAATATACTTTGTATAAAAAGCCTACTTATTAGTGTCTAAATACAATGCTATTCCAAGAATCATAGGAGCCATAATGAAAATGTCTGATCCGATGAACAATTTTGCTTGCAAAACTTTATTATAAATTACGATAAATGTTCAGTAGGGGAAGTATTTTCGCCATCACAGAGAATATATGCTAATAGCTGGGCTTGTAATAGTGTTATTTTGTCTTATCATAAGAACTTGTACAATGAACTATTTAAGCTAAAAAAAGCTTAGTCTTATCACCACATTCTGATTTACCAATTTGAGCATATTTGTTCCAATGGAAGTGTTGTTGCTCTTGGAAGTGGGAGATGCCTTTTCAAGAACTGCAACTACCAAACTGACAAACTGACAAAAGTAACAGGTTTTGCTAGGCTTACTGAGAGGGATCCTAGGACGATGTTTCCTTACTTTTATGAAAGTTCCCGCATTATTCTTTATAGTGGTAGTGTTACTGTTCTTTGTCATAGATATATCACGAGGTATGCTGGGCTGACCTAATTATACGTATTATGAGTGTGCTATTCCCTAAGACGAGAATTTTAGAAGAACTTTACACTAAATTGCGACGCCAATTAAACCCCTTTCATAAAAAGCATATAACAAAGCTCAGTATGTTGTTTCAGTTGCAGTGTTACTGCTGTTCCTAATCACCGAGATCCCCCAGGGTGTGCTAGGCCTGCTGAGTGGGATCCTAGGACGATGCTTCTTCAAGAACTGCTACCACCAGCTGGGCGAGCTGATGGACATCCTAGCCCTGATCAACGGTGCCATCAACTTTATCCTGTACTGCTCCATGAGTCGTCAGTTCAGAGACACGTTCAGTACGATGTTCAAGCCTCGGATACTGGCCAAGTGTGCGCCGCACAACACAGAGGTTCAGAGCACCTACGTCTGACCAACGTCGACTCCTGCCTTCGCCGTGACTGTCACTCTAGAGCTGTCGGACGACTAATGTGTAACCAGATGATTGACCGAGTGAAGGGTGCTTGATATAATTTACTTAATCACTGGACACTTAAATCAAGAGCCACGAAAGTTAAGTTGAACGTGTACAAAAGAAAACTTGAAAAAATGGTTGTAGTTTACATAATACATGTACACGTTTTCTTATTATTATTTACAAATTTAATTGTTATTTTGTCTTTTAGTAAAACAAGTTGTGTGTGATTCTTTCGGTTTAGTGCAGGGATCTATATAGGCTTTTTCTAATGATAATAATAACATCAAATACTATGTTGATTATAACACTATTTTCTATCCCAAAATATAATGCAATTACTTCTTGATAATTTTTAGACAGTAAGAATAAAAAAAAACATTTTTTACTGTACAAAGAAAGGTTTTCTGCAGTTTTTAGTTATTTCAGAATTAAGAAAAAAATGTGACTCTTCTTTATCCACCGTATTGTCTCTTTTAAATGAGCGGCAAGACATTTTCAGACTAAAATGTATTTTTTTTTTAAACCTAATCATTTACGAAAAATAAAGCAATTTGTTTTTTTTTATCATGGAGAAAACTTATTTATACTGTATATAAATATATATCATCTTGAGACGTCAGTGATGCATTTATTTAAGTTTGACTATTTGTCTAATCCTCTACAGTGGTATACAATTATTATAATTGACTCATTATTGTTATGGTGACATGAATTAGTGACTCAACCTAAGTGCTGCAAAGTTTTTGTGCCAACGCGGCAAGGACTGTTGTAGCCGCCGAGCCCTCGACTACATCTCTCTTTATCGCGTTGCATGACGGGACTCAAGACTGGACCACCAAATCGTTGTTTAATTGATTAATGTGTGTGTACAGTGAAAGACTGGTAATTTGCTTAGCAATCCTTAGTGGTCAAAAGCTGTCGTTTCAATAGCAAGTCATCAACGTAAAAATGTGCAGTATTATCAAAGACAGATATATGAGCGATTCAGAACAGTGATGATTGTTTATGAGACCAATAATTGGCTTAAAAGGGATATTATTGGTCTAAAAGTATATATATGTTGTTAGTTTTATACAAAAAATAAATTGTTAATCGAAAGAAAGTGATTTATTTCATACCCCCATCGATATTTTGTAGTTCACTGGAAGGATTAGCAATGTCTACTTTCAGTTAGCTACTTTTAGCGAATTTCCCTATAGGGAAGTAGCTATTACCGTAGGTGGCATGGTAAGACCTAGGCTTTTTAAATAGTTTTTCATTTTGATGTCCCCAGAGGCCAAAAATTTCGTTCAAATTTTTATATATGTATATATATGTCCGTGAACACGATAACTTGAGTAATTTTTGTCCGATTTTGATGAAATTTGGTTTGAAGGTGTAAGGTGGGATAAACTCGAATGCGTTTGCGAACCAGCATGATCGGACCATGGGAACGGTGTTTCACGGGGGGTTCTATGGAGTAGAAATTGTGTTTTCTAATTTTTGACCCTCTAAACACACAATTTCCCAATTTTTCCTCAGACCTTTTTAAAGAGCTTTAAAAAACAAATAATTTTTTATATCTAAGTGTTTTTGTACAATTATTGGTTACAGAGAAAATTTAAAAAAATCGTTATTTTTAAATTCTCATGTTATTCTTATGGAGGATATTGTAAAATGTTGTTGTAGTTTGTTTGTTTATGGATATATTTTGTTCAAACTTGGTACGGTAAGTCTATTTATTTTATACTAAATTATTAATATTTTACTAAAAACACACTTTTTACCTCCCTTTAGCAGCAAGCCTAGGTACTCATAAAACCTAATTAAATACACCTATGTGTTAACTAAATACATTTAATTGAAAACCAATTTAAACAAATATAAATTCGTATAGTCGGCAGGTTTGCTGTGGTGGGGGTATTTTTAATAATTCTAAAGATAATAGATTATGTGTTAAATACTATATATGGTGAACTGAATTTTATGCCTTACGCACTTTTCTAACTAAAAATAACAACATTGTATACCTTTATATTTTAGAACCCCAAAAATATCCCCCACATATTTTTGCTATAGTAAAATTACATATTCTATTATGTAATCTTTACGATTAAGTCTGTGCGGACTAGACTAGATATAACCACTATAGATCTACATCTGAAACATCTTAGAGACATCTCATTGCAGGCCACTTTAGGAAAAGAATGTTATATTATTAGATATTGATTTGTTATATTATTAGGTAAGATACTTGATATTAGACTCTACTTGATCGTGGATGGGTGTGGGGGTGCTTGGCTGCGAGGAAAGCGCGATATAACAGCCTACTCTCTCAAAACGAAATAGTATCATAGATTAAACATAAGTATGTATAATCCATGATTGTATTAGACTTACTTCTAAAACAACTAAAGACTGGAAAACACTTTAACTAACAACCCTAACTACCTCGACCCCAATCAGGCTAAGCCTAACACCCTAAAGAGACCCAACGCACCCCTTATCCGTTGTCACGACACCCGGCGACCGTCACTTCCCAGCTCCTCACAGCGACTGTCTCCGTAGGTACAACTACAACACACACTTGTATTGCATGTCCAGGATGGCCCGCTGGTGGGAAAATGTCCCAAACGCGGGAAAATTATGAGGGCTCTGCGTCACAATATAGTGGATTTAATATCTGTCTTTAATAAAATGTAAATTAAACAAGAAGAAGAAGAAAAAGTAGTACATTTACACCTTGATTTGCCTGAAATACCAATAAAGACATATCGATCACATTTTATACAATCTTTGACTAAGACATTCCATCTCCAAGTTAAAGTTGTCGCCAGGTTTTTGATAAAATTTGTCTTAGTTGATGTGTGCCACCTACAGTTTTCACTGATATAAATTACTGATTTCTGCCGAATTCACGATGGTTTTTTCAAAATTAAACCGATGGAATGACTTATTAAAAGCTATAACGTGTAATGACCCAGTAACTATGACAGTAACAAAAAATAAGGTATAAAATAGAGTTTTAGACACTAGAGCAATCTGTGACTGGCTCACACAACTACGTCAGTTTTTGGTAAAAAAATAGGCGACAGCTGATCCATATAGATGGGATGTCTTACAATGTAACATGTTGACAGAACAGAACTGATATTTAATTAATATTTCAGTATCATGACGGTAAATTCTCAATTCAATAGTGACTTATTGGTCTGTCCCCGTAATTCAGAAATCACTATTTAATTATAATGGGATATATTCTATCGATTATTGTCCATGTGAACAAAAAAAAAACTAAATTTTTAAGTCCACATTTTACAACAGCTTTCTTTTGAATTCTAAAAAAAAAAAAACGGAGTTTAAGCGTAACTATCTCATATTATCAAACGCATATTTAATTATACTTTGCAACGACGAGGTACGACAACAGGAGAGGAAATATTTCTTTAATGCTATTGTATAAACGATAAATGTATTGCAATTAGTTTCAAAACCAATTTTATCGAGAACAAAAAACCATACAACCATAATACACTTGTAGCATGTGCTATTTAATTGTTGAAATTCGACTGTAGGCCAACGTTAACTTCAAAAATATTTTAACGAATACTGTATTATAAATATAATAAAAATTATGTGTTTAGTAAACAATACATTGTTATGATGAAGCCCAAAATGTAGGTATCGAAACGCAAAAAAATTCTTTCCATTACGAGACTATCATATTGTCTCTTTGACAAACAAACAAATCCATATTATTGGTTCAGGCGTTACTAAGTAACAAACAAACAACAGCCAATTCATAGAGAATGTCAATAATACAATATACAGTAATTTACATTACAAATATTAACAAAGATTACATTTGTAGAAATAAATAGAAAGGTATAGAAAATACCTGATAAGTCACACGAACCTTTGCAAACACGTAACTGCAAATAGGACGAGAAACTCCATTCAATCTCGCTTGCTGTTTGTATTCATCATATCGTCAATATACTTGAGATGCATACAGAATTGTACATCACAATATTACACATGTTGCTTCGTATTATTGCAATAAAAATTATAATTGTCACGAGAGGTATACTGTACCCTTGAGTCACTTACCTACAACCGATTTTTAAACTAGCCTTATCAATTCAATAATTGAAAAGATTCACTTTACCGCATTGGTTACTTACTTTACAGGGTGGTAAAGTATTGGACCAATAGGGTTCGAGGGTTCACATTTATTTTGTAATTTTGTTGAGTTTTTCATGCGTGTTTGGAAAAGATGTAACATTTAAATCCTTCGAACGCAGACTTATCAGCTGGTAACGACCAATTTAATTGTTGACCTACCGACTTCCACTGAAAACTCACGGATAGCTTGACAATTAATTGTACTAAACGATTGGCTAACCAACAGTTTAAGTAATGTTTATTGAAAGGTTTTAAAAATGTCAGATAGCTCTAGTAAAATTACGACATAGAAGTAATGGCTCAAACTGTTTGTAATGATCTTATACTACCTTTAAGAAAAGGTAAAAAATAATATGTGTGCAAAACCTTTTATTCGTAGTCATTCACAGATAGTAATAATAATTTAAGGAATACTTTAATTAAATATGTTTTATTTAAACAACTTTTCGATCAGAATTGTACGTGTTAATAAATTTACGGAAAGTAAATAAAATTAACGTCTTATAACAATTAAAACATATACGCATATACTGTTACTTAGCAGACGGTAAATATGCATAAAAGATGGTAAGTGGTGATCGATTTTGGAGTATCCAATCGAAATCGATCACCACTTACCATCTTTTATGTATATTTACCGTCTAGTGAGGAACAGTATAAGCGTAAATATAGGTTTTAAGCGTTATAGGACTTTTCATTTATTTAATTTCCGTTTAATTAAATGCAATAACTAAGCTGTTTCAATACATTTGGTACTGTAAAAAAGGTTATATTTGTCTACTAATACCTATAACAGTACTTATGGTAACAATACAACTGTTAGCAGTACCTATTCCCTGAAAAAAGTAACAGAAAGAAAAAGTACCACAATGCTAAACAACGTAAAAAGCGTTTAA